AGCCCTACCTTCTGGGAAAATGTCTCTTCTTTATCAATAGGAGATTGAAATAAGGAGCAGTCAACTCTTCTTAGCTTGCCCTGAATGTCAGCAAACTCAATCCAATCTGCTCTAGCTCCTTCTGCAATCTGTCTCTCACTAGCTCTATTATTTTGGAACACCCACCCATTGTCGTCCAAAGCCACCACATAAGATAGCAAGAAAGGTTGATTCTGTCTTTAATATTACCCAATTGAAGAGCACTGCAAATTTCTCCCCACCAATCTTTAAAAGTAGGATTGTGAGAGTTAACAACATTCTAGGTAACTCCACTCAGTTTCCAAGCCAATCCCGCTCTGGTGCAATTCAATAAAATATGTTCAAGGCCTTCAGTTGCTAGCCCATAAAGAGAACATATAGAATCATCTGTCAATTTCCTCTTAAACAACACATCTTTAGTACTGAGGCACTTGAACCAGGAATTCTATAGAAAATGCATGATTTTGTTTTTAGGCAGGACTAGTACAGAGCCCGTGCGATGCACGGGGTGCACAATTTTAAGGCTATTTATCCAGACTTATAATTATATACATGTATACAGAAAAATGTACGGGATATATATAGTACGTGACCCGTGCGAGGCACGGGATATATTTATTTAAGGAATACTATATTATAAGATGCAATATTCAATAAAAGTTTAATAATACGCAGAAAAATTGTACAATAAGATAGTATTCGACAAACAAACAATATATATTATTAAAGACCTCCTTATACGCAACATTATGAGTTTGATTTTCCATACAATAATAATACGATTTTTTGTAAAAAGATAAGAAAGAATATTCAATCTACACAAACTTTAAACATTAGATGTATTTACGTAAATCAATGACTATATAGACAACTAAACCCTTCAATTTAGGCTTGACATCTACTTTATTTATGGGTGACGTAAAATAAGAATTTAATTTTGACCGATTAAATCTTTATTCATAGGCTTGACATATAAACTGATTTGATGGGATTTTCTTAACTAAACCGATGCTAATGGATAAAACAAATCTATACTTACCTTTGACTTTTCCAGCAAAGGTAAAAAAATCGATTCTGATTTTTATCCCATAACAAATCTTTAATGTCAAGCCTATAAATACCAAAACAAATCTGTAATTAATATCATTCATTTTTTAACAAGCATTAATTACCTTTGTCTTTTCTGCCTACTATTTCTAATAAATAAGATGACTTTTTATATAAGTATAGATTTCATATAATGCAAAGACTGAGATCATAAAAAAGAATCCTAAAAACTGAAACAATATATTTGCATAATTTAAAGCCATTAAGAAATCGATCTCTAAATCAGATTTGATTTTCATAATGTTTTTTTTATTTCGAATTTCATACAAAATGGAATTCTTTACAACCAATAGATGTCATAGCAAATATTAACTCTTAATTATTAGACTATTAGTACATACCGAGCAAATTGTGTACTGATTTTAGAAAGTTAAAATGACTCATGTTAGGTAATTTTACATTTTATGCATGTTGAACGGTGGGTTTTAAATATTGTTTCATAAAATGTAAAAGTATATTATATTATTTTTATGAGATGTTGAATTTGAAAATTAATAGAATTCTTCTTCATAGGAATTTTAAATGTAACAATATTCTTTGGTATACACTACTAATAAAATCTATATTTAAAGTTTATATTTTTTTTTACCGGAAAAAATTCCTTAATTTAAGGAATCATATATTTTCAATCAGTCCACATCTATATACATTCTTCACAATTTTAAATCTTGAATTTGATGAGAATTAGTATCTATGAGTACAAAATATGGTTTAACAAATTAATTTTTTATTATTATTCCAGCCATACTTCTTTATACGATTTTTTGTGAAAATACAAAAGTAAATTTTTAATTTTAAATCAGCCGTACATTAAAGAGTACAAATTTATTGAAATTACAAAAGTAATTTTTACTTTTAAACAGACGTAAATTTAAATCAGTCATAAAAAAGTAATATTTGTTTGTCATTTAAATATTAAATCAACCATAATTAATGTTGTTTGTTTTAGTTCCCACGATTTTCTCCAAACTAAATTAACAACTGCCATGATTTAAGGGCAACATTTAATGCTAATCTATTTTTAGGAGACATTAAATGTATTTGGCGGGAAAAACTTGCTAAAAGTGTTAAATGGTTAATCTTTTAATATAATGATAGATTCAACAAGTCAAAGGGTAAAATCCACTAAGTTTACAACTTTACACCAAATCTGCTGATATCAAAACAGTGTCATTATATCCTGTACTAATTATCCCATGTTTATACAAAATCAACTTTCATAAATCACAGATGTAATTTCATTTTATACTAACAGAGGTCTCAAATCTCAATATTATTCATTTTCACATCCATATTGACATAACTTTAAACCAAAGAAAAATAAAAAACACTACAATATGCAAGCACACACGCTGTACCCAAAGTTTTCTATTAAATGTACATTATTTATTTACACTACACCTCCCAACATGAAAGAGCCAAAAAGAAANGCAAAATATAAATTAAAAAAATAAAAAGGAAAAAGGAAAGGAAGAAATTAAAATGTAATATGCTAAATTGCAATTTCAGTCATATTAAATTATGAAGTTAGCAATTTAGGTATCAATTGAGTGATATTTAACAATTTAAGACCTATAACTTAGAATTTTGCTATAATTGAATCTTTCTACCGTCAAAATTGGACGATCAGAAGGACTAAAATTGCAGCAAAATTTTAAATTGCATAGCTTAAAATGATATGTCACTAACTTAAATTGCTACTTTCATAATTTAATTTACAATTTAGCCAATCTAATATATAGTTTTTGAAGGAAACTAGGAAAACTAACTTCCGGGTTCAGTTGCCCCCCTTGATCCGGGTCTGGACACGCTCAAACTCCGAGATCCGACATGGTATGGTTAGCCCGCCCGGCTGATCAAACCCGAACTCGTTTTCGGACTCTCTCAACAACTCCCCAAACAGAGGATGATTAAAATACGCCACGGGCACCAAAATCCTCTGAAAGTCAACATCTTTTTGGCCCACGTAGACCGCCATATGCCCCTTCGGAGCACGATCCAGCTTCTCCAGAACCGGATCTTGCCCGACCCGCATGTAACCTCGACCCGGGTAAACACTTCTTCCGGCTATTGCCCTCCTGAAGCGCCGGGCCCACCTAACCAGCCGACTGCACGGCGCTGGAGAAAATCCTCGCCGGAAAACCCGACGGAAACATGTCCTGACCCGGTGTTTCAGTACAAAACCTCCGATCCTGACCATGTTTAAGTTTTTTGTTGGGATTTCTTGAAAAAAACACAAATTATACTGTGATTGGTAAAATACTAATTAAAGGGTTGGCTTGATTTTGAGCTCTCTGTTTTA